TCAAGCACTTCAAAACAAATTCAGTTAATCAAGCCACTGTAATTCTTATTTTTTATTTTAATTCCACATTTATTTGTGATTAATTAATTACATTCACAAAAAAACTTCACACAATTTCTTGTGTATAAAAAGATACAGAATTTTTACTGTTTATAACTCAGAATAGAATGACAAAATATGCAAAGGATATCTGTATATAATTGTAAATTTTAGATAAATATAATTTTAAAATATCTAAAAGATTAAACTGATAAGTTTGAGAAATCAAAATTATTCTTTATTGAATAGCATTTTCAGCCATCTATAGAAATCTTTAGCTTGTAATGAATACAAATAAATGGGTGTCTGCAGAAAATTTTCCAGAGGAGGCAAAGCTTAGAGAGAAATAATTTCATCAATAAATTTTTATTTGATTATTTAATTTTTTGGGAGTTTTTCACAATTAGATTATAGGATACAGTAATGATCAAGAGTGTAAGTGGTTACATATCTCAATCCCTTTTAGAATTATTTGCAAAATTTTTTTACTTGATTCCAGGGGAGGGCAAGTGTCTTATTTTTTCCCTCTGCAGACATCCTTGCAAATGATTAATGTGAAACAAATTTAAAACTGATTCATATATAATATCTTTGAAAAACTGTATTAAACTTAAATAATTTGTCATCACTTGCAGTAGAAGTATAGTATAAAATAAAGAAAATTAACAAAATTATTTTAAATTTTATTTTAGAATATATTTAAATTTTATACAATATACTGTATTTTATGGCATAAAAAATGCAACTTTTGTATAAGTATAAAAAAAAAATAAAATATGCCCTACACCTTATATCAATATATGAAGTTGTGATCACCCACAGGAAATTCTTAAATGACCTTCAGTAGGCTACAGGTAACAATTTTCATTAAATTTAATAACTTTTTACCTAGCCCAACTCTTCAATAAAAATGCTAATAATCATCATGTGTAATTTAAACATAATTTATTTATTTTTCTATAGTTAAGTAGCTTTTGTATGTATTCATGTAGAATATTTTAATGATAAATGAATTTCTTTTAAACTCCTCATAAATAAAAGTGTTCATTCTAATTTTATTTATTTATTTCTAACTAGAATACAGTAAAAAGAGCTTTGGTGCTAAGAGCAAAAAATGTAAGATGGCTTAAATACACTGAAAACTTTTTCCCAAATATCCTGTGCTGAAGTGAAAGTGCATCTTGTATGTCATAAAATACAGTAATTAATATTATAAATTAAAAATAAAAAAATAATATAATTTTGGTTTTCTAACTTTGAAGTTTTATATTTTAAACAACAAATGGTGCTAAGTTTCATACAATTTTCATTAAATTTAATAACTTTTTACTAATTGTAATTAAATTGAAAAATATTGTTAATTTATATAAAATTTTCAAAAATAATGTTGAATCCATTATTAATGCATGACACTAATCATTATGTACATATACAAACACACATACATTCAGACATATATACATAACAAAACACTAACTTCCATCCTATAAACTATCTTCAATAAAATAGTAGAATACTATTGAAAACAAATCTCTCTAGAAACATATTTTAACAACAAAAAACAATCATCAGCTTTTATAAAATGATTTTGTTTTAAATATTAATTAATAAATCATGAAAAATGTTAGATAAAATTTTTATTGTAAATTAACAATTTTGAACATAATTTAATACTATTAAATATAAATTTAAGAATATTTTCATTGTTAAAATTAACTAAAGATAGGAATTAAGTCTTGAAAATGCTTTCAAAATAAACAGTTATACTAAACCTATCAAAATTGAGTGTAATATGGAAATATGATAGAGCACTTTATGATATGTTCATGATTCATTATTTAGCATTTTTCTTTTCCAAATTTTAAATTTCCTTTTTAATACTTAATAATTTATGAATTTACTTATTTAATATGTTTTGTTTTAAAAACTTTTTAAAATACCTATGTTTTTACTTAAATATTTAATATTAAAAAAAATAAGAATATGTAAAAATATGTAAATTTATTTTTCACTATACCTTTAATTTCTTTTTGATAAATTTAGAAACAACATAAATTAAATGTATTTAAATTTGAAATAACAATATATATAATGATAAAATATTATTAAAATTATAAAATATAAAAATCAATAATGCAACAGTTAATTTATTAATAAGCTTTTCAATTCATAAAGAAATAAATTATAGTCTTATTTTAAAAACTTTGGGTTATATTTTCTAATCTTTCTGAATATGAAAGTAAAGGTATCTATGAATGAGATAAATTATCAACTGTTAATTGGAAATACACCTAACCTTTGATTTACTTGGCACTGAAACTGCATGGTTTTAGTTTAACATTGTCAGAAAAACGTGACAATTTCATTTTCATGATAAGAGTTTCAGTTTAACATGATATTTTAAAACATTCTTTACTGAATTTTAAAATAAAATACAAATGCTCAAAATTGCTTCATGCAATGCCAAATAGTTTAAGAAAATACTGTTTTCATTTATAAAATGAATGTTTAGGGATAAGCTAACTATTATGATGTTGCAATTGTTTCACTGCTACTTTCAACTTGGTTTTCCATTTTGTATTATATCATAACTTTGTACCATATGTACCAAACTTAACTCAATATCAGAAAATTTATAAAGAATTAATGAATTTAAAGAATAAATAACAAGTTTTAATAATAGATTTTATTCAGAAAAGATTAACAGCAGCTTCAGTAAGCTAATTAGAAAAAATTGGAATCAAAGAAGTTAATAAAGAGACAGTCTAGTCCCTTTTTCTAGTTGAAAATCTCATTTCTTTATCAACAAGCAAAGATGATAGATTTTTAAATTTTATTTTTATTCATTTTGTAATGGTTAATTAAAAAAAATGGAACTTTGAAATCTAGTTCTTCACTTCCAATATAAATAGTTTCAATTTACGTGGTTTTGATTTTACACAGAACTAATCTACTATGCAAATCAACGATTAAATATATTTTCTTAAATCTCATCTTGAATTATTTATGTGAAATACTGTAAGGAAACTTCAGATTCCATTCTCAGAAAGAATGGAATCTGAAGTTTCCTTACAGTATTTCACATAAATAATTCAAGATGAGATTTAAGGAAATATATCTGAAAATAAATTAGGTCTCTTAATTAATACAGTAGTCTCTCGAAAACTCGGCACTCGATAACCCGGCAGTCTGGATAACTCGGCCACACCCTGGCAGGGCAAAAAAATCCTTAGTTAATTAATTTTCATTATAGACAGCTTTATGCCTCAAAGTATTTTTCTGAGGTCTGTCTTATCAGGTAAATTACTGTACACAGTGTATTCATTAATTTTCATTTTCATGTAGTAAAGGTTCTATGCTCTATGCCTTCATAAAGGATGTACTTTTCCTTTGTTTAAGGGTATTTGGGCAGTTTATTCTCTGTTGTATTCTCAAGTAAACAATACATACAAGTACAGTACAGTATTTTCTGAGGAAACACTCATACTTATTTTTTTTTAACCCCATTCCCGATAACCCGGCATTTTCACAAACTCGGCCACCCTTTGGTCCACATTAGGCTGAGTTTTCGAGACTCTACTGTATTAAGGAATTATATTCCTCTTATAATGTAATAAGTAAAAGAGAATTTATCAGAATAAAAATATTTATTTATTTTGATATGTGATTCTTAATCAAATAAATTTAATAAAATAATAGCCTCTACTTACTGTAACTATAGATAATGTTATCAGTAGTTTAATGTTATCAAAATTAGCTGATTCTTAAATGTTAGTTAAAACACACTTGTAAAATTCATATCACAATAGGTCTTAACCAATGCATTAAACATAAAACAGTAATCAAATAACAATTTTAAATGCTCACAGTGCAAGTTTAAATCATTAGAATTTCTTTTTTCAATTTTACACTAACTGTTATTAAAGGCAGTAACATCAAATGATAATGGATAAATAAAATGTTAATTAATAATAAAAATGATAAAAAAATTAAATATTATAACTTGGAAGAGTTATTAATATTTTTTTTGTGCAAAATCAATAAGACTAGAATTCATATTAACTGTTGTCTTATTTGTTTACCTCAATGTTACCTGTTGTTATCATTATCAGTAAATCCCAAAGTAATTACAATAAGATTTTTACTGTATTAATTATGTAATATAAAATTAATATTTTGATTCCGATGAAACCGTGTTTTAATTTAAATTGCTTTATTTAATAAAGCAAATTAAATTAAAACACATTAATTTTATTCATTCAATTTGTTGCTTGAGAAAAATTTTAGGTAAAATATATGCAAAGAAACCTATAATATAATATACTAAAACTACAGAACATTTTTTAATGAAAATTAACTCCAAATCTTCTGTACTTTGTTATGAAATTAGTCTGCAATGCCATTTTAATGTAATTTAATTAATTCATATTGATTATATTACAAAGATATTAATATCTGCAAATTGGTTTACTTTTTAAGCCAGAATTGTTTTACAGAAATTAGACATTAATAACACAAATTAATCATGCAAATCAACCACTTAATTTTATACCAATCATATTGCTTTGTAAACATCAAAATCATAAAATTTAGTATAACGTTTAATAAATTTTAAAACTATTTTCTTTTACATTAGGATTTTGTTAATTTTGTTGAAAAACTCCTTAATAATTATAAAACGTTTATCTTTTTTTATATTGGCTTAGTATTCAGAATCTATCAGAACCTAACATTCAGTGGAATTACAGTGGCTATAAAGATTTGTTTTACAAAATTTTTATACTTTGTAAATTAAAATGCCCCTTTCAAACTTTTATGTATATTTTCTTTACCAGAAAATTTTTTAATTATGTAAAATTTAATTTGATAACTATTTTTAATTAGCAAAATAAATTTATTATTCATTTAATATTTTAATGAAAATATAAGAATTAGCAACCAGTAAAATTTGTTCTATTTCCTGATTGTCAAACTTTAATATTTCTCTTTACGTATTCAAAAATACTTTGTATAAATATATGTTTAGAACAGAATTTACAAATTAAAATGTACAAATAAGAAAATAAGCATTACAGGCTAAAACTACAGAAATAATGATTTACACCAATGAATTAATATTTAACAGCAGCCACTTCCTTGACCTGACCCTTGGCTATTAACTGGAAGAGGACGATTTGTAGGAGAGTGTTGAGTACCAATTTTAATACCATTAGCCTGGGAGAAAAAAATTCATAAATATCAAGTTCATATGTACCAAAAATGCATATAGTATACTATTAGTATACCATTTTATATAATATTAAATGAAGACTCAATTACTGGTTTCATTAAGGCTGTTTTTTTTTTTTTGTTAAATCAGTAATTGAATCTTCACTTAACAGTATGAATTCAAATAATCAACTATAATAAAAATGTTCAAAAATAATATTAAAAAATATCCCATTCATTATAATAAATAACATAATAAAAGACTTATATCAATGTGTTTACTATTTCACAAATTATTGATTTAAATTTTTTAATTAAAATGTATTAGAAAATTTAAGAAATATGTTTTGATATATATATATGTGTGTGTGTGATATGTAACATCACACCATGTTTAATATTTCTTTAGAAATGTAAAATGTTTAATAATTTTGGTACAAACTATGACTTCATTCATTTTCAGACTTTTGTTTTTTGCATATAAAAACAAATGTTATCTGTTATTCATTACTATATGAAAAGTAAATTTTAATGAAACAACATAATAAATAAACCTAAAATTTATATTTCTGGGCATCAACATTAATTTCTTACTTTCATTAATTATTGTAAAAATTAAAATGAAAATAAATAAGCATTTTATAAATTTATTATGAAAAAATTTTAGATTTATTTAGGTGCTAAAAATAAATTTATATCATTTTTAATTTTGAAATTTGACAATTTTTCTTAGTTTTAACAAACAATTTTTAAAATAGTTGAATAATCCTATCTGATTTTTATCTAATCAAGGAAAATTCTGTGTATCTGCTCTATATTTGTAAACAAAAGCAATATTGATTGAAAACAAAGAATTTGCAAAAGATAAAAGAACTATATTCATTATCTAGTGGAAATGTAATAAAACTATAGTGGCAAAATTTAATTTATTAAATAATTTTGAATTCTAATTACAGGTATACCTCGCCTTACATTGGTAATTGGTTCCAGGAGAATGACTTAAGTCGAATTTATTTGTCTCCAAATCTACTTGTTACTAGGCTAAACCATAAATTGCCAATTCCGGTTCTGTATTTTATTTATTAATGCATTTTTAATAATGTATGGTTAATAAGGATCTATTTTAAGCTTACAAACAATAAGTAATTACAATAATAAATAAATTTTAGTTTTTAATATAGTACAGAAAAAAGTAATCTAAATTTACGAATGCATGTACTGTAAATACAGTACATACTTGTAAATGTATATATTATAATATGATTTTATGTGCTTTAAACATTTTTCTAGTGATATTACGACTTCAATATTTGTGGCGGACAGACGTAAAGTTGAATAAAATGACTTAAACTTGATTTTTATTTTTCCATATACTTTTTTGACAAACGACGTATAATCGGGAATGACGTAACTCGAAACGATGTAAGTCGAGGTATACCTGTATTAAATTTTAGACTTCATTTTTCAATACAGTAAGCATTAAATTCAAAAAATTTGTTTGTTAAATAATTAAAAACATGGACAAATTATTATCTTTATACAATGTAATATTCTATCAAACCACACCAAATTTACATGAAGATAATACAACACAAGAACAATCTGCCATGGTGGGATGCCTCTCAAGAGGACTATGGAGAAACTGGCCTGTATTTAAGTGTTAGATGTGTGAAGAAAACCTACAAAACTTCATGCAGCCAGTTCATTGTCAAGTTTGCACCTGATCAATGGGCTGGCTGCATGTAATTACATGTTTAATGACTTTATCCACTTGGACACTTATCGGCTTAACATATGAATGTAAAAATATTCTTTATAATTTTTATAGTGATTTACATTAAAATATAATCCTAATAAATTTATTTTAAGTATATCTGATCAAACCTTTCAAACTTTGAAATAAAAATCTACTTTCGTATAATGTTTTTTTTTTTTTTTTTTTTTTTTATCACATTTAAAGAAAATTTCAAATTTTATAATGTTATATATAGTATATTTGTGTCTATGGTTATAAATTATTAAGTTAAAAAAAAGTTATATTCTAGATCAGTAGTGCCCAAACTATGATCTCTGGGCCAGATCTGGCACTTGGAATACATTAATCTGGCCCATGAACATATTTGACACATCATTTATAAATGGTAGAAATAAGTCCACTTTCTGTATATATATGGAATATACAAAATATTTGTAGAATATATATAATATAGATTGAATAATACTGTTTTAGATAAAATTAATTTATTCTAACTTATATCCTAGACAAAAAATCTAGTGTAATAAAATTTTTATTATAAATAAATCTTAGATTTTTTTTACCTCATTACTGATATCAAAAGCACCTCCTTGAATTTTATCATAAATTTCTTTGGCAGTATTTATAAATGCCTAATCAAAAACAATTTTAAAATAAAGCTTAGTATGTTATTTATTTGTTTCTTTTTAAAATGTTTAATTAATTATATTAAAAATATATATATTACTTAATTTTAAATTTATAAAGCTGATATTCATTCAATGCTCTTGACATATTTATTAATTTTTCTATTTTCATGTATAAATTAAAAAAAAAATGTATTTAAAATACAACAACACTATAATAGTCTAAAAATAACATGTACAGCATATTTTTCATACCTTTACTAATATTTTAGTACAAATAAATGATTATTTTCTAATATATGTACTGAATGAATAAATTCATTTAAGTCAAAATTTATTTATTTACAATTAAAAATTTAGTGTCTAGTAGTGAAAAAATAATAGTATTTAATGTCTTACCATGAATTCATTTAAATTGACAAATTTCTTGTATGGTATTTTTATATATTTGTATATTTAATGTGAACATTTAATGTTAAAGTATTAAATTTTCCCATAAAATCATACCGCAACAAATTGAGTTATGTACTGGTACTATTAATTCACAAAAAAAATATATTGAGTTTGTTCCAGCCAGAAATCATTATGCTATTTACAGTGAAAACTGAATTTTTTAAATTACTTTTTGTCCAATGAAGAAAAGGTAAATGTACATAATAAACAACTACCCAATAATTTTTATTTATATTGCCAGATGATCTACTGTCAAGATATATTAAGGATAAAAAGAATATTTGTAAAAAAAATTATTATTATAAAATTATTATTTTATTACTAAAACATGAAATTACTTTCTATAACATCATTAACATTAGAATGATTGTAAAATATTTCATGTTACAAATCATTTCCATATTAAAAATGAAACTTCTATTAAGTATTAATTATTATCCTAAAAAACATTTATAATATTGAGAAAATTATGTGTAAACTAACTGTTACCTGCGACTTCGCATGTGCAAATTTTGCAAGCACACCCCATTTATATTCAGTATTTCAACAACCATAGTAATTGTTATATAACACCTACTGCTGAGAATGAGGAGAATTGTTGAAAATCAAACAAACTATTTTCAATTNAATATGAAGGGACATATGGAAGACTTAACTGAAGTTTTTCATACCTTTACTAATATTTTAGTACAAATAAATGATTATTTTCTAATATATGTACTGAATGAATAAATTCATTTAAGTCAAAATTTATTTATTTACAATTAAAAATTTAGTGTCTAGTAGTGAAAAAATAATAGTATTTAATGTCTTACCATGAATTCATTTAAATTGACAAATTTCTTGTATGGTATTTTTATATATTTGTATATTTAATGTGAACATTTAATGTTAAAGTATTAAATTTTCCCATAAAATCATACCGCAACAAATTGAGTTATGTACTGGTACTATTAATTCACAAAAAAAATATATTGAGTTTGTTCCAGCCAGAAATCATTATGCTATTTACAGTGAAAACTGAATTTTTTAAATTACTTTTTGTCCAATGAAGAAAAGGTAAATGTACATAATAAACAACTACCCAATAATTTTTATTTATATTGCCAGATGATCTACTGTCAAGATATATTAAGGATAAAAAGAATATTTGTAAAAAAAATTATTATTATAAAATTATTATTTTATTACTAAAACATGAAATTACTTTCTATAACATCATTAACATTAGAATGATTGTAAAATATTTCATGTTACAAATCATTTCCATATTAAAAATGAAACTTCTATTAAGTATTAATTATTATCCTAAAAAACATTTATAATATTGAGAAAATTATGTGTAAACTAACTGTTACCTGCGACTTCGCATGTGCAAATTTTGCAAGCACACCCCATTTATATTCAGTATTTCAACAACCATAGTAATTGTTATATAACACCTACTGCTGAGAATGAGGAGAATTGTTGAAAATCAAACAAACTATTTTCAATTTGATCAATTTTCTGGAATGTTTACAATCGTTCTATAATCAAACCAATGTGCAATAACAAATTCAAATTGGTTCAAACATTTGGTTAAAAAATCGAAATATATAAAAATATTTATAACAATGTCTGAAATGTTATCAATTTAATACACCTAAGTACTCAAAGAAAACTAAATGTAGTTGAAAACAAAAAATTGCATCTAAAATAGTACAGTAGAAACCGTTCTTCAGGTTAAGCCTTAATCCTCTCCCACACGAGGGAATTTCGAAAAATCCCTTCTTAGTGTGCGTTTCATGATGTACCCTAACTGTGTACAAAATTTCACCTCTTTAGGTTCGCGGTTTGCTCTGGTCAATGATGAATCAATCAGTCAATCAATCACTCACTCAGTCAGGACAATTAACGATTAATAGTTATGTTCCAAAAATGGCTAATAAGTAAATAAAATTTAAATCTTATTTACTTTAATCAAAAACGGCTAATATCGTTAATACTTAAATTTAAATGTTCTCTTCGAATTCTCTTATCGATTTTGAATTGCCTGAGGACGACTTATATATTTATGTTGAAAGCGCTTGCAAGATTAAAATATTCCTTTTAATTCTCTTTAACGCCTCCTAGTCTGAAATTTATAATTGAATTAACACAACTGTTGGCGTGACGTCTAATCAAAGTATTTAATATTCCTAAAAAGAATATATATAAACCTAAATCAAAATATATATATATAACAGTTTTTATAGATAACTTCTTAACAAAGCTTTTCAGTTAAAAGCCTTCCATACATCGCTTCATATTAACCCAAGCCTATGCAACAAGGAATATGATAATTTGTTTGAATGTTACTGAATCTACTATACTGACTTCCATACATTTGATATAGCATCTTTGTCATTAAAATTCATGCAATCTTTTGTTTGTGAGGATAAATATGTTTGAAGTTTTTCCAACACATTATTTAATTCTTCTGGTTTCTTGGCTATCTGATTATCTTGGCCACACATATATGTTGACTTGATATGTTGACATATTGAGCTGAAAATGTTTTGAAAATAAAAAACTTTTTAATTCTATATATGAGCAATTATATATTGTGACATTGTCACAATGCAGGGCTGCAAGTTTTAGCCATAATTTAAATTTATTTAATTGCTCTCCACCTCAAATTAGTAGTGGCTTGCCCCTGTACATCATACTGTTCCTTTAACAATACAATCATGCCAGTCATCTATTAACTGTTTTCAGGGGAAAAGTTTTGAATTGAAATAATGTGATTTCTGATTTGTATTGGAAGTTTGTGTATAGTTGACCGAAGCCTCCTGCTCTTAAGGTTTCCATATCTGGTTTCAGATTTCATGTATCTAACTCCAATCTAAAGATTAAGGAAAGACAAATGGACAACAAAGGGAATTTATAGGTCTACAATTTTCCAAACTGCAGCCCAATAAAGCCAAAAATATAATACCTGATGTTGCTGCCTATGCTGCTAATGCAGTAACTTGTATGCTTTTCTTCGTGTTCCATTTGCACACAAAGAAACATGAATAGAGCTCAAGAAGAGCATACAAGCTTTTGATAAAAATTGTCAAAACAAATAAATTTAGTTACAAAATTTAAGGAAAATTCTTAAAAATACACAATAAATTTTGTAACTACTAAGTATAGAAGCTACTGCATTAGCAGTATACACAGTAACACCAGGAATTCAGTTGACACATGTGCAGCCAAGATAATTAGACTAGCCAGAGAATCAGAAGAACTAAGTATATTTACTCTCAATAACTAAAAGTTGCATAAACTTTAATGACAATGAAATTAATAAATACATGAAAGTCAGCATATGAGATTCAGTAACATTCAAGATGATGATATTACATTGCATAGGCTTGGTTAATATGAAGGGACATATGGAAGACTTAACTGAAGAATACTTTTAAGAAGTTATCTATAAAAACTGTTATATATATTTAAGTCAAAAAAAATATATATAACAGTTTGTTTATATATCATTTGGTTCTTTTAAGAATGTTAAAGTTTAGATTGTGTACTGCAAAATTTTTTAAGCAGTTTTAAGTTAGAATATTGTAACATGTAAACATTTCAAATTCTGTAATAGTTTAATGATTCAAATTTCTCTTGCCTAAAGATGACCTTTACATTTTCAAATTGAAAAGTTTGGCTGGAATTGTAATGTGTAGTGTATTAGTAAAATTTATTTTACTTTCACTGTAACTGCATTTTCTTATGCAATTATAATCTATTTAATACTAATTATAAATATATTTAAATAATTTATTTAATAATATGAATTTTAGAACACATACTTCTTCCACATTAGCAGCTGTTTTAGCAGATGTTTCCATAAATATTAGACCATGTTCACGAGCAAATATTTCTCCTTCTTCTCTATTTACTTCTCTTTTACTTTCCAAATCACTAATTTAACAATAAATATATAAAATTAAAATAACACTTGCCTCTTCAATATTTATACTAATTAAAGGACTAAAGATTATGATATATGATCTTTACAAATTATTTATTTCTCCATTATTAGATCATTGTTAATTATATCATTAAGTTCAGTTAGGTCATGTTAAGTACTGTACATATCAATAAGATATAAAAATAGAATCAACTTTAAGCAGAATATAATTTCCACTAAAGATTTTTTTTAAATGTTGTTCTTTTTAATTCATTCATTTTTGTTTCAGTTTTTCTATATGCTATTCTTAGGATGTCTCAAGTAAAGTAGTTTGAACTGAAGATAATGCAAATTGAGCTGAAAATGTTTTGAAAATAAAGATTTTTAATTCCTTATCTAAAGCCAAAAATATAAAATCCATGATAATGTATCATTAATTAAAAAATATAAAATTAGGAGAAATATTTTAATCTTGCAAGCGCTTTCAATGTAAATATGTACGTCGTCTTCAGGCAATTCAAATCGAATATATATATTCGATTTGAATTGCCTGAAGACGACGTACATATTTACATTGAAAGCGCTTGCAAGATTAAAATATTTCTCCTAATTTTATTTAACGNTCTTTATGTATAATTTCTCATCTGTTTATTAAATGTGTTGTCTATTTAAACCTGTGTAATCAATTGGACACCTGGTCACGACTTCCAACTCCTCCCCACTCATATTTTAGCCCTCCTATGCCATCCGACAACCGAGAACGGGTCTTTCCAACCTGTGCAGATTAAGTGGTCATTAGGGTTCACCCAGTGGCCCCCTGCTACTCACAGATTAATAGAAATTTTAGTGTATTTGAAAAACATCTTTCATTTATATATCCTGCAGCTGTTGGTACTTCAGCTTTTATATAAGTTTTGAAAAACAAAAATGGCTCCTCCCAAAAATATCTGCTGATCCTGAGCTAAAGTAATCACTTATTAAAGATGTTTTAATTTTTTTCATGTCAAACATGAAAAAATTTATTCTAAATTACTACATCTTTTAAAGCAATTAAACAACAATTATTTTACTTACCATTTATTTCCAATTAACATTATAACCATATTTGAATTGGAATGTTGTTTTGCATCTTCTAACCAAGACGCTAGGTGAGAGAATGTGTCCTTTCTAAAAAATACAATTTTAAAAAAAAATAATAATAATTGTGAAAATTCTATTACATTAAATTTTTATCAAAATAGGAATACTTCTATAATAATTTTAAAAAGTTTTAATTTTATTTAACAGTAAGGAACCACGAGATCAATAGTATAATTATTACAAAGTACTTTACAAAAATATTCAGTACATTAATATGAATAAATATTTTTTATAATTGAGTTATTAAAATTACAAAAGCTGAAAATACAAAAAAGAATAATTATTTAATTAACGTAAGTTATATTTTTACCTTTCAGCTTAGCTACACGAGCATGGCATGGCCCACTCTGTAGTAATTTTATGATTGCACTGTATATTGTTAAGCAACAAAATACTTTTTACTATTAGTTTACAATAGTTGTTATTATTGTAAAACAAATGGCTGGATGGCTGAGCGGCCCAGGTGGCAGCCTACCGCTCTGGGGACTCGGGATCAAATCCGAACAGGTTGAGAAATCCCCAGGAATTTTTCATGGGATGGTCTGTCCAGATATGTCGGATCCCATCCCTCACCACCCAGCCACCCCATTGTGGGCCTGGCCGAACCCATAATGGGCTTCCTTAAAGAGGCCCTCTTAGTGCCCACAGGGTGGAAAGAGTTAAAAAAAAGTTTTTTATAAACATATGAGGGGTGGCTTGTATTAACTGTACATGCAATAAAAAAATTTTATGTAGGGAAAACTAAGACAAAATTAAAAGTAAGAATAAGAGAACATGAGGCTACAATCAAGTTAAAATATAAAGATTCTCCATGGTTTTCAAGCATTATTGAAAATGGATATAAAATAGATAATATTAAAATTTTACATACAGAAAAAATTTAATAAAAAGGAAAATTAAACAACATTGTTATAAAAAAAAAGTAAACATTTGTTAAATTCATAACAAAGAATTGCAATTAGACATGTGTTGGAATGATGTAATCAACCAATATAAATGTAGCAGTCATTGTAACTTGAAAAGTGAAATAGTATACTTAGTGAAAATGATTCATTGTAACGACCTGATGAATACAAAAATAATCATCATCGAAAGCACTTGTTGCTAAACATTTAAACACACAAAAATAAATGTCGCTTGTAGCAACATTTATTTTTATGTTAAATGTTTAATTACAAATAAATGTTATTTTTATGTGTTTAAATGTTAAATTACAAATAAATGTCGCTACAAGCGACATTTATTTGTAATTTAACGCGTATATGTTAAAAGTTTCTTCTATTAAACGATCGGTGTGCTGTCCATCAATGTATTATAGATAGATTCACGTAGTTTAATAATCAGCAAAGAAAATGAACAATATTGAATTATTAATGTCATAGTTATTTTAAATTGTAAGTATACATAAATAAATTTTAAAAAAAGATCATGTAAAAAACTTATTTTAGAACTACAATGTTTATCTTTTGTTTATACATATAGTACATCTTAACCAGTAATTTGGCCAAAATGCATTATGTAAAATAAAGTTAAATTAATGGATAAACTATCTTTCCAAATGTAAAAATTCTCATTTATGTTTTGTTGTCAGTGACGAAAATAAGAAGAAAAAAAAGAGATCAATGTCATCTCAACTGCATTACTTCAATATACTTTTTATGACAAGCAAACATTCCTTCTAATCTGCCCACTGATTTCCAAGGAGTTGCACAGAAGCTTTTACTTTCTGTGCCTGCAAACAGCAGAGCATCTACATATAAAACATTCATATGATCCAAATAATATCTATGTGCTGTACAAGGAGGAATCTGCAATATTCATGATGATGATACTATGATTGACTCTAAGCAAATTAGTTTACATAAACATGTGATCAGATTTCTTCTCTGAAAATTTTTTGCACAGGTGCATTTTGGCATGGTCCAGCTACATGATAAATTATAGGGAGCATCAAAATAATTTTTGTGAAATGAAAGTATTTGTATTTTCATCTATTAATAATTGAAAAGTATAAAAATTATTTAAAAATTTTCTGCATAATCTTTAAAATTAAAAATCCAAGTTTATAAACAGAGTGCCATTTGTGAGAATGCGGACGCTGTTTTTATTTTCACACTAACTGCGTAATTAGCGAGGGTGACTTTCATCGTCTGAAGGTCATCGACGAGGGACCAAGATGTCACGTGATCCCCATACGTCCGAGCGACCGGACGAAAAAAATGACTATATAAGGAGATAAGTTGCGAGAAACGGTAATAAATCAGGGAGCGATGTCAAAAGACGTCAACAGATTCCCAGGTTTTTCCCATGCTAAAGGGTATAAAAGGGGAACGATCTGACACCTCGAGAGCGATCGTCGAGGAAGAAACATCGACGCACGATCTTCCAGCACTCTCAGGATCTACGAAGCTCATAATCGCCGCTCCATAACAAGGTAAAAACTTTGAATATTTTTCTATTCTCTTCATATACGACGGAAATACTCCTCAAAGAGGTTAACAGAAGAAACCTCCGAGAGAACTTCACCAGGAAGAACTCTCTACAGAATAGGAGCGACGGAGCATACACCGCATCAGGACAGAGCCGCACGACCTGAGAAGGACATCGCTCCACATAGCCTTCAAAGGACACCTCAGAGTAGAAGACGACGATCACAGAGTGTTTTATCAACGCCCTATAATATGAGAATGTTGCCTTCGAGGTAAATCCTTGCCATAATTATATCTCTCCAACGTGAGGTCTCTCTCGAACTTTAGCATTAGGTTAGGTTAGGATAGATTTTAGAATACCTATTTATATCTTGATACGCGAGTGTTATATTTATTATCTTTATGTATAATTTCTCATCTGTTTATTAAATGTGTTGTCTATTTAAACCTGTGTAATCAATTGGACACCTGGTCACGACTTCCAACTCCTCCCCACTCATATTTTAGCCCTCCTATGCCATCCGACAACCGAGAACGGGTCTTTCCAACCTGTGCAGATTAAGTGGTCATTAGGGTTCACCCAGTGGCCCCCTGCTACTCACAGATTAATAGAAATTTTAGTGTATTTGAAAAACATCTTTCATTTATATATCCTGCAGCTGTTGGTACTTCAGCTTTTATATAAGTTTTGAAAAACAAAAATGGCTCCTCCCAAAAATATCTGCTGATCCTGAGCTAAAGTAATCACTTATTAAAGATGTTTTAATTTTTTTCATGTCAAACATGAAAAAATTTATTCTAAATTACTACATCTTTTAAAGCAATTAAACAACAATTATTTTACTTACCATTTATTTCCAATTAACATTATAACCATATTTGAATTGGAATGTTGTTTTGCATCTTCTAACCAAGACGCTAGGTGAGAGAATGTGTCCTTTCTAAAAAATACAATTTTAAAAAAAAATAATAATAATTGTGAAAATTCTATTACATTAAATTTTTATCAAAATAGGAATACTTCTATAATAATTTTAAAAAGTTTTAATTTTATTTAACAGTAAGGAACCACGAGATCAATAGTATAATTATTACAAAGTTTGTGCTTTAATATTTTAGTAATTACTTTCATTAAAAGTAAGCCTAGATTTTTTAATTTTCAAACAAGATGACAATTCCAGCCTATAAAAACAATGTTCATTATTAAATTTTTTAAATAATAATAAATATTACTGCTAAGAATTCTGCAATTTAAAACATTTTTTTTATTGAGAAACAGTATTGTTTTTATATAATATGAATACATATTGTTATTAAAAGACAAAACCTTGGTATCATTACAGACAAGAATAGTTCAAAATAATTCTAAATTAATTAAAAATTATAATCTGGTATTTTTTACAATAAATATGATTGATATTTTCTCAATAAATAACATTTGAACAGATCGTTTATCTTATTTTTAAGTTTATATGAATGAGATAAATATAATGCAAATCAATAAAAAATTTATGAACATTTTTATCTATATTTTTAAATCACAAATATCATGATTAAGTTTATTAATTAAAAAAATATGTTTATTTTAATGTGTTTATTACTGAACATTATGTAGTATATATTTAAACATGTATCTAAAATCATAAAATGATCAACTAACAGAAATTGTAATAGGTACTGTAATTAATAATTCTGCATAACTGACAGTTCATAAGATAATTATTAATTATATTATTATTTTTCATATTAATGCAATTGGAGAAAATAATTTATATATAGAACTTAATTGATAAAGTTAAAAAGATATAGAGATAAATTATAAATACTTTCAAAAATTCTGAATTATTTTAAAATAATTTTGTATATAATGACAAAAGTGGTAATAATAATAATAGCATGTAAGGATGTTTTTAGAAATTCATCTCCATCATCACTTCATAAAAGTTATTTTCAATAAGTAGACCAATTTTCAAAAATATAAAATTATTTAAATCAGAAGATAGTAATAAACTTTCTACAAAATATTAATATTTTCATTTGTTAGTTAGAAAATCCATTCTAGCAGTGATGTGATTTTATTACAAAATTATTTTATGATGTTAAAATAATTTTCATACAAGAAAAAATTATATTATATTTTAACATTTACTAAAAAATTTAAAAAATCAATAGGTAATTCTCAAAAATTTGAAGTCAGAAAATTTATATTGCTTTTTAGCCTATCTTAAACTATTCTCTACATATTTTCTTAGTCATCAAATAATGGCAATAGCTAAGAAGGGAAAAATGTAAAATAAAATCTTTTGTGTAGTTTTTTACATCAATATTATGATAGTCATAAAGAAATAAGACAATCCTTAATCTTGAAAATTTTAAAAATTCAAATGTAATTTACTTGCCTTGTAATATCATAAACCAATAATGCACCAGCCGCTCCTCTGTAGTAAGATCTGGTAATTGAACGAAATGCTTCCTGACCTGCCTTTCAACAATTATATTATCTCATTTAAGAATTCAGTTATTAATCAGTTATTTTTAATGATAATAAAATTAATAAAATGTAAGTAATAAAAACCTTTATTACAAAAACATCATAAAAAATAGATCTTCAGTAAAGCTTTAAAATAAAATATCAATTTTAGCATAGATTAATTAGCTAAAGTTATTTATAGACATCTAATATCAACCATAATTAGCTTAACAGATATATAAAAGCAAATAAAATGTGAAATTAATTAATTTTGTAAGTGTTTAAATGTACTTCTAAAATACAAAAATAAAAGTGGCAAGATGAGTTTAATTAATAAACATTTTTAAATTCAAAGTTATTCTCTGAGTAATGTTTGAATTTATTTCAAGGTTTTACTGGGCTCAAGTGAATATTATAATGATATAAATTATAGAACTAAATTGATTAATTATGTAATTCATATCATTATTAAAAAAATCTTAAATCTATAGTTTCAGTTCCATTTCATTATCTTAACAATATGAAAAGTTATTGTTAATGATAACCAGTTAAATATGGAAAATCAACAAATCAGTTATTTAAGAAAGTAAAATACAATACAGTTTAATATATATGTGGGAGATGGATTGATTTTTATTAACATTGAATGTGAACAGAAAGTATCAATTTAGGTTTAAAGATTTTTATTGTTAAATAAATTGTGTAGAATGTGAACAGAAAGTATCAATTTAGGTTTAAAGATTTTTATTGTTAAATAAATTGTGTAGAATTAAAGAATTTTGTTCTGTGTGATTATTTATCTATGAAAACATTTTTTTATCATTTTAATCTATATGTTATAGAAAACTGAAAATAGCTACTACCATTTTTAGTATATAATTTCTATAATCTGTTGTTAAACAGGATAAAAGAATGCTAAGATTTATCTTTCTGATATATTTAATCACTTGTAACATGCAAATTTGCTTGCAATATTTTTTAAGTAAATACAGTAAAACTACATTAAGTCAAAGTTTAAGGACTTAATGACTGAATTAATGAGTTTAATATCCAGTTTTCTCAAATTTTTCTGTGGCCATAAATTTTCTGTTATCAAACCATTTCTAAAGAATCTGTTAAGAATGCTTATGAAATTATAAACAGTTTATGGCAATTTTAAGTGTGTTGTCAAGTCATCCCCTTGTGTCCCTTTGACAATGCTGGTAACATACTGTATCAGTAAAAGGAATTCAATGTAAAGTTGTAATAGTATGGTGTGTTTAGCATAGAGCCATAATGTTAATTTATATTAATTGTCTGCATTCATACAGAAAATAAGATAAAATGAAGATAATAAAACTATCAAAATGAGGGGTACATAGGAAAACAGGTTTGAATTAATTAGACCATATCATATGGAAAATCCTATACACCACACCTTGGACTTATAGACAGCTTTGAGTTAATCCAGTTCAACTTATAAAGGTTTTACTGTACTTAATACCAAAGGAACAACAACTGTACTAATAAATCAGAGATTAATTTAATAAAAAAATTATTTCAATTGTTTGCAAATATTCAGAAAATTTTCATAATATTTACTTATTCTAAATTATGTGTGTAGATGGGCTATAAGCTTTTTTCAAAATGAACTTTATATTAAACCAATATTTTGATAAATAAATTAAAGTAAAATTAATTTAATGTTATAAGTATTAAAAAAAATTAAAATAAAGTATGTCTGTTTTAATTTAACATGCATTAGTAATTGCTTTTAATAATATCAATGAGGAAGTTTGTCCAAAACTTCAGAACTAATTACAGTGATTTATATTAATTTCTGACATGGATAAACTTAGAATTCACCATTTACAACTCAATTTTTGAAGATATAATTAAGACTACCATATGGGAATTATCATATACATATTTTTTATCTGCATACTGCATCTTTAACAAAATTTTTCTTACTAACAGCCCAAGTTTCACTAATTATTAACAAGTTTCTTTGACAGGATCTCCAAATTATTGAAATTCAAAATATTCTGACTTTGCTAAATATTTCTCTTCCAAAAAGATGGACTCAGTCCATCTGAACTCCAACTTTCTGATATCAGAAAAAAATCTTGTATAATACACCATTAAACTATTTCAATGACAACATTGCTATTGCAAAGATTCTTTAATTTCTTGAAAGAATAAACATTTTTAGTATCAAGTGCAATGAACTTGAAGTGTATAGCTATGTATTGTCATAATCAAATAGCACTGAAAATCACCTTTTCAAAAAAACTGTTTTTCCTAAAAAAAAAGTGTTATTTTCTAATTTCAATTCTAATTATTTCGTATAAGTTGATTCAGTATTTTCAAGTTTTGATGGAACTATAGCAAATAAATCTGTCATAACTTCAGCTTTAACATGTAAGAAAATTATTGCCATAATCTTATCAAAATAGGCATAGGACTTTGAACTCCTTATACCTAGGCTGCAGACTGACATGCTTTTGCTGCTTTGATTATTGATAAATATCTGGATCAAAATAGTAAACTGAAATCTCATTTAGGATTTTTAATTGTGTAAATTGTGTATAAATTAATCATAAACCTGTCTCAGTCATCCAAAAGCTTTTAAAGACAAGTTCAAAATAATAATACTGAAATGCATATTTGCTTTTCTGTCAGAGATTGGAATACCTTATATTGACAGTATTTTTAATTTCTGGTAAATAATGAATTCCACAATTTTTATATTCTGCAAGTATTCTACTATATGATCTGGCAGCTCTCTCTATTATGATTTCTGAACTTTTTCAGTATTTTATCATTGATTGATTAATGTGGTCATGTGTCATTTTCACTTCTGTCTAATTTTACTGTTGCATACAACATAGTAGTGACAACATTGTCTGTTAGTTGCACTACTACCTCTTTCTAAATAATCTAAAAAACAGATCATAGCTCTCTTATTTCAAGTTACTGCATAATCTTAGAAGTCATTGTTACAATTTAATTTCCTACAGAAGAAAACAACAGCTATAGAAAATAGATAAATAATTCAATAAAAGTAATGCATTTTTCATACAGACCATCATAAACCATCATACTTGGTTCATTATTAATTAGCCAAGCTGTAAAAACACTAATATAATATATATAATGTATGTGATAGGATGACCATAATTTTGCCATGTTAAAACAAGACAGGGAGCTGCAGCTGATATATGCAAGATCTCTTATTAAAATTCCATCAAGAAATATAGCTGAACATTATTAACAATTTGTTAATACATTATTTGTGATATTGATTTGGTGACATAAAAGAAAGAAAAAAATCTTTTAGAAAAATTTATATAATTTTCAAAAATTTAATTAAAAAAAATGTTATTTTTATTGCAATATGGATATCAAATTTAATAGTTATGTTGACGTAACATATTTTCCAGGGTAAAGTATTATTTTCAGATAAACTTATTTTGTTTAATAAGTTATGGTCATTGTAAGTTGCAATTTTGCTTTATAATTAACACTGCTTTCACAGATTCAATATTTAATCTCAATTTCTCCTTTGACCACAAAAAATTAACAAGTGAAAATATTCTTTCTACAGAAGTAATTCCTAGAAAACAAAAGACTAATTCTATAAAATTATTAAAATCTTGAAATTCAATATCTTTTTCATGTATTTCATTACTTATTTTATTCCATCTGTCAGCTACATCAATTTTTTCTTCATTCTATTTCTTCAAGTGTTTGGTTATTATTACCTTTATTAGCACTCATTAATTAAATAATTGAATTTCATCTTTTTTCCATGTAATATATATTTAAATTCACTGAAACTATTTTGTATTCCTTGCCATTTAAACATCTTTCTCATCTCCATTTAAGCATCCATTCAAATTTATGACTTATCATTGCAGAAGTGTTTTAAAAATTAAATATGACAAATGGAAAAATGGCAGGATAGATGGAATAAAGCCAAAAAAACATTAGTCATCTCCTCAAAACAGACTTATGATCAGTCTAATTTAAGATGTTGTTCAATTGTTCTTAGATAATTCAATTTATGAAGGGATAGATATACAAATTATTACTGGAAAAAAAATTATTGTTTTGATATAGCATGATATCTTTTTAAGATTATATTTTCCTCTCTGTTCATAGAATCTTATTGTAAATTGATGAAAAATAAAACATTTACTTTACTGTTTGAAACTGTTCAGTTATATATCAAGTTTAAAATATATTTTATATCATCTTTACACTCTTTCTCCCAGGCCTGATTATTCTGCATTACCACATATTTTCTATTTTTTTTAAATAAACATTACAATAAGCCTTTGTTTGCAATTTGTTCTTATTGTTTTAGTGTATTTTTAATTGGTTATTTGTATTTGTTATAGGGTGGCATTTATAGACTGTAACTTTGCTGTTAAAATTTAATGTGTAATAAAAATATTTAAATAATATATTAAATATATTAACTATTATATTATACTATTATAAACTATTACATTATACTATTAGTGTTAATAAAATTTCATATAAAAGTAATTATTAAAAATAATAGTAATTTATTATAAAATGCATAATATATTCATTTAATATGTAATGTAAAAATAAAATGTTATTTGTGATGAAGTAGTAAACTTTATATTATCTTTACAGTTACAAAAATTTTAATATGATAGATTTAATTCTATGTAATTTCAGAAAACATATTTATCATCAAATTGTAATTTAAATACAAGTATGATTTATTATAAAATAAGTATCTTTAAATATTTATTAAAAGCAAAATCATTTTTACATATTCATTTCCATGTAATATTAACTTTTTTCAATTTGTTATACTTAAAAAAATAGTGCTAAAATTAAGTATCTAGTATATTTCATTCTGTATCAAACATTCATGTATATTTCTATCCATACAACAAGTATTTAACTTATGCTAGTTATATCAAACCAATGCAATTTTTAAAACAAATAAATAGGTAAATGTCTCTTCAATCCGAATAAATTTTCGGTAGACTTTCTCACAGCTCTACAGGTTATAAAACTCCTTTATTGTTTACATATGCATTTCGAGCAAATTTAATTTTCTAGCCCCTCTTCAGTGCTTAAGATACTCCACATGTTTCATCATCCTTTTCACAGTACTTGTACTATAAATTTGTAATGTTTTCTAATTTATAATGTCTTTGACAATTTCCATTTTTTCTCTTAAGGGCGTTTTACATCAAAATCCATATCATTATGCTACACAAATATAGGTTTTCTTTAAAAGTGTCACAAAAAAACACACAGTAGTATATGTTGTATAAACTTTAAAAAAAGGTAAAACTGACAATAAAATTTTTTCCTATGATAAAATTTTATAGTACAAGTACTGTGAAAAGGATGATGAAACATGTGGAGTATCTTAAGCACTGAAGACGGGCTAGAAAATTAAACTTGCCCGAAATGCATATATAAACAATAAAGGAGTTTTATAACCTGTAGAGCTGTGAGAAAGTCTACCGAAAATTTGTTCGGATTGAAGAGACATTTACCTATTTAACACACAGTACAGCTTCCATTAGAAAAATCATCAAGGAAATTTTTAAAAAATTTGTCAGTTTCTTAAAAACTCTCTTTTCCTACATTAAATCTTAAACATTATACATAAACACTACATTTCTATATATATATATATATATATAATTTTATCATTTTTAATAAACTTTTATATTAAATTTAAACTGTTTATACATGATAAAAATAATAAACTATTATAAAGATAATAAAATATTAACTGTATCCCAAATCTGGAGTTTCACTTGTTTTCCATCAATTGTTATCATTCTTGCACCAAATTCAACACCTGTAATGAAAATAATTTTAGTTAAATCATGTTATTTATTAAAATACATTAAAATTTTATTTTAAATGAAGTTTATACTTAGAAACTCATTGATTGTATCTTTTTTTATCTAGATTTTTATCTGAATTTTTTAAAATTTAAGTAATAAATTAATGAGTTAATTGAAGACACAGACTGTCCAAAAAAATTTTTTTGGTAGACACCATTTATTCACTTCGTGTTCCAGAACAAACCTTTTGACGACCTAACCTTCTTTGTTAGGCTACTTGGCTGTCAAGTTTATAAACATTCCTTTAAAAAACACAGGTGGTCATCAAAAAGTTTGTTCTGGAACACGAAGTGAATAAATGGTGTCTACCAAAAAATTTTTTTGGACAGTCTGTTTGAAAAGATTTGTCACCAGGGAAAGCTACAGAAATCTACATCTACCAGTGTATTTTTCCAGTAGATATAAAGGCACAAAATTCCCCAAATGGAAAGAATGAAGAACATGAAAATGGCTGTAAGACCCATGAACTCTAAGTTGAAATTTATAATTTTAATTAGATATTTTCTGTGTTTTTTAAAGGAATGTTTGTAAACTTGATGGCCAAGTAGCCTAAAAAAGAAGGTCAGGTCATCAAAAAGTTTCTTCTGGAACACGAAGTGAATAAACGATGTCTACCAAAAATTTCTTTTGGACAGTCTATCTTCAATTAACTCAAAATATCATCCAACAAAATTCCAGTGATAAATTAATGTTTTTTTTTATTTTGTTTTAGCAGCTTAGAATGTTTTGAAATCATATAAATAGCAATACAGTAAAATTTAGTAAATGGTAAAATGAAAATTTTTTGTAAGTTTCAGAAGACAAGATTTGTCTCAAAAAAACAAATTTTGTCTTTTGGAAATAATAAATTTATAAAAATTACAATTTAAACAAAATTTTTTTTTCTTTTTGTTGAAAAAAGTCTGCCATNTTGTATATAATGACAAAAGTGGTAATAATAATAATAGCATGTAAGGATGTTTTTAGAAATTCATCTCCATCATCACTTCATAAAAGTTATTTTCAATAAGTAGACCAATTTTCAAAAATATAAAATTATTTAAATCAGAAGATAGTAATAAACTTTCTACAAAATATTAATATTTTCATTTGTTAGTTAGAAAATCCATTCTAGCAGTGATGTGATTTTATTACAAAATTATTTTATGATGTTAAAATAATTTTCATACAAGAAAAAATTATATTATATTTTAACATTTACTAAAAAATTTAAAAAATCAATAGGTAATTCTCAAAAATTTGAAGTCAGAAAATTTATATTGCTTTTTAGCCTATCTTAAACTATTCTCTACATATTTTCTTAGTCATCAAATAATGGCAATAGCTAAGAAGGGAAAAATGTAAAATAAAATCTTTTGTGTAGTTTTTTACATCAATATTATGATAGTCATAAAGAAATAAGACAATCCTTAATCTTGAAAATTTTAAAAATTCAAATGTAATTTACTTGCCTTGTAATATCATAAACCAATAATGCACCAGCCGCTCCTCTGTAGTAAGATCTGGTAATTGAACGAAATGCTTCCTGACCTGCCTTTCAACAATTATATTATCTCATTTAAGAATTCAGTTATTAATCAGTTATTTTTAATGATAATAAAATTAATAAAATGTAAGTAATAAAAACCTTTATTACAAAAACATCATAAAAAATAGATCTTCAGTAAAGCTTTAAAATAAAATATCAATTTTAGCATAGATTAATTAGCTAAAGTTATTTATAGACATCTAATCTCAACCATAATTAGCTTAACAGATATATAAAAGCAAATAAAATGTGAAATTAATTAATTTTGTAAGTGTTTAAATGTACTTCTAAAATACAAAAATAAAAGTGGCAAGATGAGTTTAATTAATAAACATTTTTAAATTCAAAGTTATTCTCTGAGTAATGTTTGAATTTATTTCAAGGTTTTACTGGGCTCAAGTGAATATTATAATGATATAAATTATAGAACTAAATTGATTAATTATGTAATTCATATCATTATTAAAAAAATCTTAAATCTATAGTTTCAGTTCCATTTCATTATCTTAACAATATGAAAAGTTATTGTTAATGATAACCAGTTAAATATGGAAAATCAACAAATCAGTTATTTAAGAAAGTAAAATACAATACAGTTTAATATATATGTGGGAGATGGATTGATTTTTATTAACATTGAATGTGAACAGAAAGTATCAATTTAGGTTTAAAGATTTTTATTGTTAAATAAATTGTGTAGAATGTGAACAGAAAGTATCAATTTAGGTTTAAAGATTTTTATTGTTAAATAAATTGTGTAGAATGTGAACAGAAAGTATCAATTTAGGTTTAAAGATTTTTATTGTTAAATAAATTGTGTAGAATGTGAACAGAAAGTATCAATTTAGGTTTAAAGATTTTTATTGTTAAATAAATTGTGTAGAATTAAAGAATTTTGTTCTGTGTGATTATTTATCTATGAAAACATTTTTTTATCATTTTAATCTATATGTTATAGAAAACTGAAAATAGCTACTACCATTTTTAGTATATAATTTCTATAATCTGTTGTTAAACAGGATAAAAGAATGCTAAGATTTATCTTTCTGATATATTTAATCACTTGTAACATGCAAATTTGCTTGCAATATTTTTTAAGTAAATACAGTAAAACTACATTAAGTCAAAGTTTAAGGACTTAATGACTGAATTAATGAGTTTAATATCCAGTTTTCTCAAATTTTTCTGTGGCCATAAATTTTCTGTTATCAAACCATTTCTAAAGAATCTGTTAAGAATGCTTATGAAATTATAAACAGTTTATGGCAATTTTAAGTGTGTTGTCAAGTCATCCCCTTGTGTCCCTTTGACAATGCTGGTAACATACTGTATCAGTAAAAGGAATTCAATGTAAAGTTGTAATAGTATGGTGTGTTTAGCATAGAGCCATAATGTTAATTTATATTAATTGTCTGCATTCATACAGAAAATAAGATAAAATGAAGATAATAAAACTATCAAAATGAGGGGTACATAGGAAAACAGGTTTGAATTAATTAGACCATATCATATGGAAAATCCTATACACCACACCTTGGACTTATAGACAGCTTTGAGTTAATCCAGTTCAACTTATAAAGGTTTTACTGTACTTAATACCAAAGGAACAACAACTGTACTAATAAATCAGAGATTAATTTAATAAAAAAATTATTTCAATTGTTTGCAAATATTCAGAAAATTTTCATAATATTTACTTATTCTAAATTATGTGTGTAGATGGGCTATAAGCTTTTTTCAAAATGAACTTTATATTAAACCAATATTTTGATAAATAAATTAAAGTAAAATTAATTTAATGTTATAAGTATTAAAAAAAATTAAAATAAAGTATGTCTGTTTTAATTTAACATGCATTAGTAATTGCTTTTAATAATATCAATGAGGAAGTTTGTCCAAAACTTCAGAACTAATTACAGTGATTTATATTAATTTCTGACATGGATAAACTTAGAATTCACCATTTACAACTCAATTTTTGAAGATATAATTAAGACTACCATATGGGAATTATCATATACATATTTTTTATCTGCATACTGCATCTTTAACAAAATTTTTCTTACTAACAGCCCAAGTTTCACTAATTATTAACAAGTTTCTTTGACAGGATCTCCAAATTATTGAAATTCAAAATATTCTGACTTTGCTAAATATTTCTCTTCCAAAAAGATGGACTCAGTCCATCTGAACTCCAACTTTCTGATATCAGAAAAAAATCTTGTATAATACACCATTAAACTATTTCAATGACAACATTGCTATTGCAAAGATTCTTTAATTTCTTGAAAGAATAAACATTTTTAGTATCAAGTGCAATGAACTTGAAGTGTATAGCTATGTATTGTCATAATCAAATAGCACTGAAAATCACCTTTTCAAAAAAACTGTTTTTCCTAAAAAAAAAGTGTTATTTTCTAATTTCAATTCTAATTATTTCGTATAAGTTGATTCAGTATTTTCAAGTTTTGATGGAACTATAGCAAATAAATCTGTCATAACTTCAGCTTTAACATGTAAGAAAATTATTGCCATAATCTTATCAAAATAGGCATAGGACTTTGAACTCCTTATACCTAGGCTGCNCCTCAATCAAAGTTTTATCAAAAATGAATGATAACAGACAGAATGTTAAAGTTCATTAAATATTAAATTGATTAAAAAATGAAAAATTAGAAAAAGGCTGCACTAGAGTAGTAACTGATGACTCAGTATTGAAAATATTGAATTGTCTGTAAAATAGCAATTAAGCATTATGACACTCGTTATAGTAAATTAAAAATATAATTTTTTCAAAAACTTGTTTTAAACTTTTACATCAGCATGACAATCAAAAATCAGTTTCAATCTAAATGAATTACTCTTTATTGTAATATACTATGAAACCTTTATATGTTGCACAGCATATTACAGCACAGATTTATATACTACATAAAACTAATTTGGCTATGTTACAAATGTATAAATTAAAAGAAATTTGAATCATAAATCTGATTTAGAAATCAGATGAATAATATACACAAATAGGCAAAGTTTAATATCTATTTTAAACTAGATAATTTGAATTCTGAGATCATTTCTAAATCAACATTGAAATGAATTCAACAGCAATCAAAGAATATCTATAGCACTGAACAATTAAAAAATAATTTAATTTCAATTGATAGTAGTTTAATTATTTTTATTCACTCTTTTTGTACATAATACTTCAATAAAACAATTTTGAGTTATTGTACAATGATTCCTTTGGTAGTTCTGATTATGTAACAAAAACAATCATTTCTGAAAATTAATTTTTATTGTCTATATTCTCTCTAATCTATGATTTCAACATTTTAAATAATGTTTTATGTATAATATATTCACTGTAAAAAAGTAAGATTTCATAATTCTTTTTAGCTAGCTAGAAAAAGAATTCCCTTCATAGCAAGTAATTTTATTGCTTAATTTTCAAACATTTAAATTAATATACACATTTTTAGTCAAAACGTGCAATCTACACTTCAAAATACTTGAAAAATGTATTTATTTCATTAATATTTTTCTTTCTTATTTTTTTGAGGAATAACTTTATAGAACTAACATCAATAATAATTTTTATTTACATTATATATTTCCTTTACATAGGTTACCCTAAGTACATTAAAAAAAAAAAAGAAGCAATATACCTTATGTAACTCCAACAATATATTTAATCAACCAAAACTATTTTTGACCTACATCCATAGGACTTCTTCAGTTGCAACATCAAATTTAAATGAAACAAAAAAAACAAAAAGAACATTCTAAAAACATTAAATGCAATGAAAATAATTTAAATTAAAAAGAACAGGAAGAACTTTCAAGATTAATAGAACATTCAAGTGATATAATACAAGTAATACAAGTGATATAAAAATAAATACAGTAGAGCATTGATTATCTGACTCAATTGGGGACTGGGGTTGGTTGGATAACTGAAAAAATGGATAACCGAAAAATATGAAAAAATACATTATTAGTATAGTATATTAGTATATCTCATGTAATTAGTATATTAATGTATCGCTATGAACCTATTTGCGTTGAATTTTCATCGATGTTAAGCCTAACAAAACTTTTTTTAAAATAATAATCGTCACTATTGTATCATTAAAAATTAGAAAATTAAGTATCATTTAAATACTGGCTCCCTTTCATGGTCAAGCCATGTTGCCAGCTAAAACACATAAAAATACTATTAAAGTAGCCAAGACATAGCCAAATATTGTAGCGCCACATCAATAGTGGATATTTGAATTTGTCGACTAGAGCGGTCGGTTAACTGAGGTGACGGTTAATCGTGGGTCGGATAATCAATGCTCTACTGTAAATACATATTATAATCAAAATTTAAAAACATAAATACAAGCAAATATAAATGGTACAAAAATAAAATAACAATAAACAATTATCAGAGGACCGAAGCTCGAGTTAAAGCTGGTATATAGATTTCCATGTTGTCAATAATGTGTCAGCATCCCTGTGATTGATACAAAAGTGTTTTCTATTAGCTTTAAAAATTTCTAATAACTCCAAGAACCTGACAGAGTTAGGGTTCCTGGTGGGTCTAGAGATCTTAGCCTCATCCCATATCTATGTCCTGCTAAGAGGCAAAAGCCACTAATACGTTAGTGTTAAGATTTTTTCAATGACATATTTATGTTCCTTAATTCTTTGTGGTAGTGTGTGCAGTAACTCCCAGATGTATTACCTATGTGTTGAAATGCTGGCCCTCAATTGGAATGGCATAAACACCCAAGGAGTTAGAGTTGCTAAGTGGATCCTTGTCATTATGCAGAATTCAAAAACTGTCAGATTATAGACAAGGTTTACATTGTTCATTTTAGCCAGTTCCTTGTGTACTGCATCTTAATGTGGAAACATAGTGTAACATAGCCTTCTTCTTAGAGACCGGTTGTGAAGATTTAGTTCTTGCTGTTTCAAAAGTGCAGGAAACACAATGTTTGGCACCTGTCTCAAAATAATCCAGTTCAATATAAGTATCAATAATATTAGTGCAATGGGTGTAAGTCACCATATTAATGACCTGAATGCTGAGTTTCATGGAGAAAGAGTGGACTGAATGAACTGCGTGGGATAAAAGCAAATTGATATTTGGGCTTATGGTAAATATTGGTGAAGATCTCGCCAACTTTGCAAGTGATGGATACATCTAAAAATTAGCTCTCTTTCTCCAAGCTTAGTAGGAGACCATAAGAATTATTATTCAGTTTATATAGAAACAGATGCAGATTTGATTTTCTGCACCACAATATAAAAACATTGTTGACGTAGCTAATGTACATCATGATGAGATGTAGGTACCCTAACAGTATCTCCTTTTTTAAACAGCAGATGATTAGCTCACATAAGATTCCTGTGGAGAGATTTCCCATGGGAATGCCTCTTCCGTGTACAAAGGTATCGTTGTCAAAAGTAAAAAATAATGTGTAACACTCAAGATGGACAAATTTCAAAATGTGTTGGTGATACTTATGGTCACCCTCCACATTGATGAGAAGGTAATATCTAAGAGAGCAAACAAGGAGGTAGCTTAATTAATAGAAGGGTAGAGAGCCTGAAAGTCCATCATGGTCATGTACTCCTCATCAGCCAATGCAATGTTTTTAAAATGGTCCAACAACTGTAATGAATTGCTGATGGTAAAAGGATAATATGAGGTTATACTGCTGTAAAATCTAACAAGCTGCTTCTTGAGTAAGAATGTGAGTGAGGAACAAGCAAAAATGTATTGATTTAATCAACCAATTGGTTAATAAAATATATTGCTGGAGTTAGAGAAAGTGTGCTGCTTCTTTCATTTGGCTACTTCTACAGTTTGTCAAATTACAAGGAGCATAAAGAAAATAAAGAACATTTGGCTATAAAAAAGAAAAAACAGTAATGATAGGAAAAAAGTTTTATTAAGTAATTAGTACCGAGACAAGTTATTTTTCTACATAGACACCATAACAATTTAAGCACTTGTTTTGCAACACTAGTTTTTGGATTCCTGCATCATAGACTACCACTGCCAGTTCTTTCAATCTGTTAATGATAGTTTCTTTCACTTGTCATTCATCCTAAAATGTTTCCCAACCAAAAACCTTCAGCTTGAGAAAGAGGTGACAGTCAACTTCAGGTCAGGTCAGGATTGTATGGTGGATAGTAGAAAACATCCCAGCCAAACTTCTGAAGCACAGCTTGAGTGGCTGCAGCAGAGTGCTATTGTGCATTATCTTTCTTGATTAAACATTAAACACCATTTTCTCGCACTGGCTTCATTCATAATGTGATCACCGTATACTTTTGTGATTTACTTATGAATTTATATATGACAAATTTTCTAATCTGAATACCGGTATTCTGATAAAATTGCACTTACTAAAACCTTTATTGTCCGGTACTTGTAAACTATTCGTAAAAACAAACGTTTTCGGCCTCAGTCGAGGTCTTCTTCAAGATAAAATAATTGGATTCCATTCTTAGAATGAACGTTTAGTTTTAAAATATAATCGAATTCATGCGTGTGTTACGTATCGTCATCGTTTTGTTGTTCTTCGCATACGTAACGCCAAGCATAAGAAAGCGTGTTGCCGTCTTTGGTGTTTATACATCTCCCCGTTCTGCCGACTTTGTAGATTTCCAGGGCTTCAAGGGCTCTGATGTGGTCTGTATTAAAAGCTCTATTTATTAATCTGGCTTTTGATAGTTCTGCGTGAATATCCGGGTCGGTTGCATAGGTGGATAGTGCAGTGGTGTAACGAGCATTTTCTATGTCATATNAAAGTAAAATTAATTTAATGTTATAAGTATTAAAAAAAATTAAAATAAAGTATGTCTGTTTTAATTTAACATGCATTAGTAATTGCTTTTAATAATATCAATGAGGAAGTTTGTCCAAAACTTCAGAACTAATTACAGTGATTTATATTAATTTCTGACATGGATAAACTTAGAATTCACCATTTACAACTCAATTTTTGAAGATATAATTAAGACTACCATATGGGAATTATCATATACATATTTTTTATCTGCATACTGCATCTTTAACAAAATTTTTCTTACTAACAGCCCAAGTTTCACTAATTATTAACAAGTTTCTTTGACAGGATCTCCAAATTATTGAAATTCAAAATATTCTGACTTTGCTAAATATTTCTCTTCCAAAAAGATGGACTCAGTCCATCTGAACTCCAACTTTCTGATATCAGAAAAAAATCTTGTATAATACACCATTAAACTATTTCAATGACAACATTGCTATTGCAAAGATTCTTTAATTTCTTGAAAGAATAAACATTTTTAGTATCAAGTGCAATGAACTTGAAGTGTATAGCTATGTATTGTCATAATCAAATAGCACTGAAAATCACCTTTTCAAAAAAACTGTTTTTCCTAAAAAAAAAGTGTTATTTTCTAATTTCAATTCTAATTATTTCGTATAAGTTGATTCAGTATTTTCAAGTTTTGATGGAACTATAGCAAATAAATCTGTCATAACTTCAGCTTTAACATGTAAGAAAATTATTGCCATAATCTTATCAAAATAGGCATAGGACTTTGAACTCCTTATACCTAGGCTGCAGACTGACATGCTTTTGCTGCTTTGATTATTGATAAATATCTGGATCAAAATAGTAAACTGAAATCTCATTTAGGATTTTTAATTGTGTAAATTGTGTATAAATTAATCATAAACCTGTCTCAGTCATCCAAAAGCTTTTAAAGACAAGTTCAAAATAATAATACTGAAATGCATATTTGCTTTTCTGTCAGAGATTGGAATACCTTATATTGACAGTATTTTTAATTTCTGGTAAATAATGAATTCCACAATTTTTATATTCTGCAAGTATTCTACTATATGATCTGGCAGCTCTCTCTATTATGATTTCTGAACTTTTTCAGTATTTTATCATTGATTGATTAATGTGGTCATGTGTCATTTTCACTTCTGTCTAATTTTACTGTTGCATACAACATAGTAGTGACAACATTGTCTGTTAGTTGCACTACTACCTCTTTCTAAATAATCTAAAAAACAGATCATAGCTCTCTTATTTCAAGTTACTGCATAATCTTAGAAGTCATTGTTACAATTTAATTTCCTACAGAAGAAAACAACAGCTATAGAAAATAGATAAATAATTCAATAAAAGTAATGCATTTTTCATACAGACCATCATAAACCATCATACTTGGTTCATTATTAATTAGCCAAGCTGTAAAAACACTAATATAATATATATAATGTATGTGATAGGATGACCATAATTTTGCCATGTTAAAACAAGACAGGGAGCTGCAGCTGATATATGCAAGATCTCTTATTAAAATTCCATCAAGAAATATAGCTGAACATTATTAACAATTTGTTAATACATTATTTGTGATATTGATTTGGTGACATAAAAGAAAGAAAAAAATCTTTTAGAAAAATTTATATAATTTTCAAAAATTTAATTAAAAAAAATGTTATTTTTATTGCAATATGGATATCAAATTTAATAGTTATGTTGACGTAACATATTTTCCAGGGTAAAGTATTATTTTCAGATAAACTTATTTTGTTTAATAAGTTATGGTCATTGTAAGTTGCAATTTTGCTTTATAATTAACACTGCTTTCACAGATTCAATATTTAATCTCAATTTCTCCTTTGACCACAAAAAATTAACAAGTGAAAATATTCTTTCTACAGAAGTAATTCCTAGAAAACAAAAGACTAATTCTATAAAATTATTAAAATCTTGAAATTCAATATCTTTTTCATGTATTTCATTACTTATTTTATTCCATCTGTCAGCTACATCAATTTTTTCTTCATTCTATTTCTTCAAGTGTTTGGTTATTATTACCTTTATTAGCACTCATTAATTAAATAATTGAATTTCATCTTTTTTCCATGTAATATATATTTAAATTCACTGAAACTATTTTGTATTCCTTGCCATTTAAACATCTTTCTCATCTCCATTTAAGCATCCATTCAAATTTATGACTTATCATTGCAGAAGTGTTTTAAAAATTAAATATGACAAATGGAAAAATGGCAGGATAGATGGAATAAAGCCAAAAAAACATTAGTCATCTCCTCAAAACAGACTTATGATCAGTCTAATTTAAGATGTTGTTCAATTGTTCTTAGATAATTCAATTTATGAAGGGATAGATATACAAATTATTACTGGAAAAAAAATTATTGTTTTGATATAGCATGATATCTTTTTAAGATTATATTTTCCTCTCTGTTCATAGAATCTTATTGTAAATTGATGAAAAATAAAACATTTACTTTACTGTTTGAAACTGTTCAGTTATATATCAAGTTTAAAATATATTTTATATCATCTTTACACTCTTTCTCCCAGGCCTGATTATTCTGCATTACCACATATTTTCTATTTTTTTTAAATAAACATTACAATAAGCCTTTGTTTGCAATTTGTTCTTATTGTTTTAGTGTATTTTTAATTGGTTATTTGTATTTGTTATAGGGTGGCATTTATAGACTGTAACTTTGCTGTTAAAATTTAATGTGTAATAAAAATATTTAAATAATATATTAAATATATTAACTATTATATTATACTATTATAAACTATTACATTATACTATTAGTGTTAATAAAATTTCATATAAAAGTAATTATTAAAAATAATAGTAATTTATTATAAAATGCATAATATATTCATTTAATATGTAATGTAAAAATAAAATGTTATTTGTGATGAAGTAGTAAACTTTATATTATCTTTACAGTTACAAAAATTTTAATATGATAGATTTAATTCTATGTAATTTCAGAAAACATATTTATCATCAAATTGTAATTTAAATACAAGTATGATTTATTATAAAATAAGTATCTTTAAATATTTATTAAAAGCAAAATCATTTTTACATATTCATTTCCATGTAATATTAACTTTTTTCAATTTGTTATACTTAAAAAAATAGTGCTAAAATTAAGTATCTAGTATATTTCATTCTGTATCAAACATTCATGTATATTTCTATCCATACAACAAGTATTTAACTTATGCTAGTTATATCAAACCAATGCAATTTTTAAAACAAATAAATAGGTAAATGTCTCTTCAATCCGAATAAATTTTCGGTAGACTTTCTCACAGCTCTACAGGTTATAAAACTCCTTTATTGTTTACATATGCATTTCGAGCAAATTTAATTTTCTAGCCCCTCTTCAGTGCTTAAGATACTCCACATGTTTCATCATCCTTTTCACAGTACTTGTACTATAAATTTGTAATGTTTTCTAATTTATAATGTCTTTGACAATTTCCATTTTTTCTCTTAAGGGCGTTTTACATCAAAATCCATATCATTATGCTACACAAATATAGGTTTTCTTTAAAAGTGTCACAAAAAAACACACAGTAGTATATGTTGTATAAACTTTAAAAAAAGGTAAAACTGACAATAAAATTTTTTCCTATGATAAAATTTTATAGTACAAGTACTGTGAAAAGGATGATGAAACATGTGGAGTATCTTAAGCACTGAAGACGGGCTAGAAAATTAAACTTGCCCGAAATGCATATATAAACAATAAAGGAGTTTTATAACCTGTAGAGCTGTGAGAAAGTCTACCGAAAATTTGTTCGGATTGAAGAGACATTTACCTATTTAACACACAGTACAGCTTCCATTAGAAAAATCATCAAGGAAATTTTTAAAAAATTTGTCAGTTTCTTAAAAACTCTCTTTTCCTACATTAAATCTTAAACATTATACATAAACACTACATTTCTATATATATATATATATATATAATTTTATCATTTTTAATAAACTTTTATATTAAATTTAAACTGTTTATACATGATAAAAATAATAAACTATTATAAAGATAATAAAATATTAACTGTATCCCAAATCTGGAGTTTCACTTGTTTTCCATCAATTGTTATCATTCTTGCACCAAATTCAACACCTGTAATGAAAATAATTTTAGTTAAATCATGTTATTTATTAAAATACATTAAAATTTTATTTTAAATGAAGTTTATACTTAGAAACTCATTGATTGTATCTTTTTTTATCTAGATTTTTATCTGAATTTTTTAAAATTTAAGTAATAAATTAATGAGTTAATTGAAGACACAGACTGTCCAAAAAAATTTTTTTGGTAGACACCATTTATTCACTTCGTGTTCCAGAACAAACCTTTTGACGACCTAACCTTCTTTGTTAGGCTACTTGGCTGTCAAGTTTATAAACATTCCTTTAAAAAACACAGGTGGTCATCAAAAAGTTTGTTCTGGAACACGAAGTGAATAAATGGTGTCTACCAAAAAATTTTTTTGGACAGTCTGTTTGAAAAGATTTGTCACCAGGGAAAGCTACAGAAATCTACATCTACCAGTGTATTTTTCCAGTAGATATAAAGGCACAAAATTCCCCAAATGGAAAGAATGAAGAACATGAAAATGGCTGTAAGACCCATGAACTCTAAGTTGAAATTTATAATTTTAATTAGATATTTTCTGTGTTTTTTAAAGGAATGTTTGTAAACTTGATGGCCAAGTAGCCTAAAAAAGAAGGTCAGGTCATCAAAAAGTTTCTTCTGGAACACGAAGTGAATAAACGATGTCTACCAAAAATTTCTTTTGGACAGTCTATCTTCAATTAACTCAAAATATCATCCAACAAAATTCCAGTGATAAATTAATGTTTTTTTTTATTTTGTTTTAGCAGCTTAGAATGTTTTGAAATCATATAAATAGCAATACAGTAAAATTTAGTAAATGGTAAAATGAAAATTTTTTGTAAGTTTCAGAAGACAAGATTTGTCTCAAAAAAACAAATTTTGTCTTTTGGAAATAATAAATTTATAAAAATTACAATTTAAACAAAATTTTTTTTTCTTTTTGTTGAAAAAAGTCTGCCATGAAAATTATATAAAATGATTTCTGAAACCTCAATCAAAGTTTTATCAAAAATGAATGATAACAGACAGAATGTTAAAGTTCATTAAATATTAAATTGATTAAAAAATGAAAAATTAGAAAAAGGCTGCACTAGAGTAGTAACTGATGACTCAGTATTGAAAATATTGAATTGTCTGTAAAATAGCAATTAAGCATTATGACACTCGTTATAGTAAATTAAAAATATAATTTTTTCAAAAACTTGTTTTAAACTTTTACATCAGCATGACAATCAAAAATCAGTTTCAATCTAAATGAATTACTCTTTATTGTAATATACTATGAAACCTTTATATGTTGCACAGCATATTACAGCACAGATTTATATACTACATAAAACTAATTTGGCTATGTTACAAATGTATAAATTAAAAGAAATTTGAATCATAAATCTGATTTAGAAATCAGATGAATAATATACACAAATAGGCAAAGTTTAATATCTATTTTAAACTAGATAATTTGAATTCTGAGATCATTTCTAAATCAACATTGAAATGAATTCAACAGCAATCAAAGAATATCTATAGCACTGAACAATTAAAAAATAATTTAATTTCAATTGATAGTAGTTTAATTATTTTTATTCACTCTTTTTGTACATAATACTTCAATAAAACAATTTTGAGTTATTGTACAATGATTCCTTTGGTAGTTCTGATTATGTAACAAAAACAATCATTTCTGAAAATTAATTTTTATTGTCTATATTCTCTCTAATCTATGATTTCAACATTTTAAATAATGTTTTATGTATAATATATTCACTGTAAAAAAGTAAGATTTCATAATTCTTTTTAGCTAGCTAGAAAAAGAATTCCCTTCATAGCAAGTAATTTTATTGCTTAATTTTCAAACATTTAAATTAATATACACATTTTTAGTCAAAACGTGCAATCTACACTTCAAAATACTTGAAAAATGTATTTATTTCATTAATATTTTTCTTTCTTATTTTTTTGAGGAATAACTTTATAGAACTAACATCAATAATAATTTTTATTTACATTATATATTTCCTTTACATAGGTTACCCTAAGTACATTAAAAAAAAAAAAGAAGCAATATACCTTATGTAACTCCAACAATATATTTAATCAACCAAAACTATTTTTGACCTACATCCATAGGACTTCTTCAGTTGCAACATCAAATTTAAATGAAACAAAAAAAACAAAAAGAACATTCTAAAAACATTAAATGCAATGAAAATAATTTAAATTAAAAAGAACAGGAAGAACTTTCAAGATTAATAGAACATTCAAGTGATATAATACAAGTAATACAAGTGATATAAAAATAAATACAGTAGAGCATTGATTATCTGACTCAATTGGGGACTGGGGTTGGTTGGATAACTGAAAAAATGGATAACCGAAAAATATGAAAAAATACATTATTAGTATAGTATATTAGTATATCTCATGTAATTAGTATATTAATGTATCGCTATGAACCTATTTGCGTTGAATTTTCATCGATGTTAAGCCTAACAAAACTTTTTTTAAAATAATAATCGTCACTATTGTATCATTAAAAATTAGAAAATTAAGTATCATTTAAATACTGGCTCCCTTTCATGGTCAAGCCATGTTGCCAGCTAAAACACATAAAAATACTATTAAAGTAGCCAAGACATAGCCAAATATTGTAGCGCCACATCAATAGTGGATATTTGAATTTGTCGACTAGAGCGGTCGGTTAACTGAGGTGACGGTTAATCGTGGGTCGGATAATCAATGCTCTACTGTAAATACATATTATAATCAAAATTTAAAAACATAAATACAAGCAAATATAAATGGTACAAAAATAAAATAACAATAAACAATTATCAGAGGACCGAAGCTCGAGTTAAAGCTGGTATATAGATTTCCATGTTGTCAATAATGTGTCAGCATCCCTGTGATTGATACAAAAGTGTTTTCTATTAGCTTTAAAAATTTCTAATAACTCCAAGAACCTGACAGAGTTAGGGTTCCTGGTGGGTCTAGAGATCTTAGCCTCATCCCATATCTATGTCCTGCTAAGAGGCAAAAGCCACTAATACGTTAGTGTTAAGATTTTTTCAATGACATATTTATGTTCCTTAATTCTTTGTGGTAGTGTGTGCAGTAACTCCCAGATGTATTACCTATGTGTTGAAATGCTGGCCCTCAATTGGAATGGCATAAACACCCAAGGAGTTAGAGTTGCTAAGTGGATCCTTGTCATTATGCAGAATTCAAAAACTGTCAGATTATAGACAAGGTTTACATTGTTCATTTTAGCCAGTTCCTTGTGTACTGCATCTTAATGTGGAAACATAGTGTAACATAGCCTTCTTCTTAGAGACCGGTTGTGAAGATTTAGTTCTTGCTGTTTCAAAAGTGCAGGAAACACAATGTTTGGCACCTGTCTCAAAATAATCCAGTTCAATATAAGTATCAATAATATTAGTGCAATGGGTGTAAGTCACCATATTAATGACCTGAATGCTGAGTTTCATGGAGAAAGAGTGGACTGAATGAACTGCGTGGGATAAAAGCAAATTGATATTTGGGCTTATGGTAAATATTGGTGAAGATCTCGCCAACTTTGCAAGTGATGGATACATCTAAAAATTAGCTCTCTTTCTCCAAGCTTAGTAGGAGACCATAAGAATTATTATTCAGTTTATATAGAAACAGATGCAGATTTGATTTTCTGCACCACAATATAAAAACATTGTTGACGTAGCTAATGTACATCATGATGAGATGTAGGTACCCTAACAGTATCTCCTTTTTTAAACAGCAGATGATTAGCTCACATAAGATTCCTGTGGAGAGATTTCCCATGGGAATGCCTCTTCCGTGTACAAAGGTATCGTTGTCAAAAGTAAAAAATAATGTGTAACACTCAAGATGGACAAATTTCAAAATGTGTTGGTGATACTTATGGTCACCCTCCACATTGATGAGAAGGTAATATCTAAGAGAGCAAACAAGGAGGTAGCTTAATTAATAGAAGGGTAGAGAGCCTGAAAGTCCATCATGGTCATGTACTCCTCATCAGCCAATGCAATGTTTTTAAAATGGTCCAACAACTGTAATGAATTGCTGATGGTAAAAGGATAATATGAGGTTATACTGCTGTAAAATCTAACAAGCTGCTTCTTGAGTAAGAATGTGAGTGAGGAACAAGCAAAAATGTATTGATTTAATCAACCAATTGGTTAATAAAATATATTGCTGGAGTTAGAGAAAGTGTGCTGCTTCTTTCATTTGGCTACTTCTACAGTTTGTCAAATTACAAGGAGCATAAAGAAAATAAAGAACATTTGGCTATAAAAAAGAAAAAACAGTAATGATAGGAAAAAAGTTTTATTAAGTAATTAGTACCGAGACAAGTTATTTTTCTACATAGACACCATAACAATTTAAGCACTTGTTTTGCAACACTAGTTTTTGGATTCCTGCATCATAGACTACCACTGCCAGTTCTTTCAATCTGTTAATGATAGTTTCTTTCACTTGTCATTCATCCTAAAATGTTTCCCAACCAAAAACCTTCAGCTTGAGAAAGAGGTGACAGTCAACTTCAGGTCAGGTCAGGATTGTATGGTGGATAGTAGAAAACATCCCAGCCAAACTTCTGAAGCACAGCTTGAGTGGCTGCAGCAGAGTGCTATTGTGCATTATCTTTCTTGATTAAACATTAAACACCATTTTCTCGCACTGGCTTCATTCATAATGTGATCACCGTATACTTTTGTGATTTACTTATGAATTTATATATGACAAATTTTCTAATCTGAATACCGGTATTCTGATAAAATTGCACTTACTAAAACCTTTATTGTCCGGTACTTGTAAACTATTCGTAAAAACAAACGTTTTCGGCCTCAGTCGAGGTCTTCTTCAAGATAAAATAATTGGATTCCATTCTTAGAATGAACGTTTAGTTTTAAAATATAATCGAATTCATGCGTGTGTTACGTATCGTCATCGTTTTGTTGTTCTTCGCATACGTAACGCCAAGC